TTGGCAGTCTCAGTGCAGCAGGCCGGCCGTTGCTGCCACAGCATTGGGCAATACGTGGTTGGTGCCAGCTTGCGCCGGCCCGGAGCATGGCCCCGAGCTCGACCAAGGTTCTCAACTTGGCCGAGTCGTCGGGACCCAGCCGATTGCCGCTGCGGTAGGCAGCCGCCGACCAAGACACATGCTGCAGACGCAAAAAGGTCCGAGAAAAAAAAAATGCTTCATGCCAGGAGCGCTGCGTGTGTGCGTGGGTCCAAACCATGTTGCATAATTTTATAGCCCATTTGCAAGCTTGAAAATCTTCACGACAAATGCTTTTCCAAAATTCAGGGGAAAATCATCCAAACCGCATATGTTTTTTCAAAGGTTTGGCTGCCGAAACGACTTCCTTGGATGAAATGTGTGTGTGTGTGTGTGTGTTTTTTTTACCGTGGGGGAAACGTGAACATTGCTAACATGAGCTGTCACTGGGCGAACAGCCCATTGCCTTGGTTGGAAGAACTCCGCAAAGCTTTGGGCCTTATGATCATCCTCGTCGACCAGAGCACTGGACAAATCATGTGAGCGTCCTTCCTTCTGCCGGATGCTTGGACTGTTGGGTACCTTCCAGATTTCAACTTGAGAGCCAGTCTCACGCAGGTTGTTGAGCCATTTTTTTTTTTTTGGCGTTCCGCCGCCGCAACCGGAAAATACATGTTGTGCAATAAACAGGCAAGGAAGCAAGCAAGAAACAAACGCCCCCGCGCAGCGCAGCCAGCATTGAGGTTTGGTGGCCCCGGCCTCAGGCGCGCACTGGGCCCCTGGTGTGGGATACTCTGCCGGTTATTCGAGCGTGGGCGCCCTCCATGGCCGACCGCTTAGTGCAGGCCCTGCAGGGTAACACCCCCCGCCATGCACGGCTGGCGCCACCCATGCTTATTTTTCCAGCTTTTACTTGCGAGATGCTCGCCAGCCCTGCCCCGTGTGCTCCCGGGGATGAGCCAGGCGATCCTCTTCTGGGTTGGCAGCATCATGCTGCCCGAACTTGTGATGAGCGCGCGTGCGCGATGCATCGTGCGGAGAAAAATCTCCCGCGTCCCGTGCGCTGCCTTCACAGGCCGGGCCCCATGCGACACGGGCCTTCACGGTTGCGCCAACTCATGACGGCGTTGTCTTTCTCAGTGCGCAGGTAAGTGTGCTCCACCGGGTCCACCGCCGCTTTCGGCTGCCGCTGCCGCTGGCGCCAGGCCTCTGCGGCTGCCACAGGCGTTTGGATGCGCCCGGAAATCACCGCAGTGCTTGCGCCACAACGGGTGTGCTCGCCTCCCAAGCGCTGCCACTCGAGTGGGCTGCCGTCAGGGTCTGCCGTGATGCCGGAGCACATGTCGCATGGAACGTCCATTGGGGTCGTTGCCAATGGCCTGGCCTTGTGGCAGGGGTCGCAGTTCGCCCCTGATGCCACCACAGTCTCGCGCGTGACGCGGTCTGACACACACCCGGGATGGGCCGCGAACAATGCCGCGCGGTGCAAAAGGTGCGACACGTACCCTGAGCTGATATGGCGCGCCGCTGCTGCCTTGTTGTCGTTGGCATCGAGGTTGGCGAACGCCTGGGAGCCAAGGCAGCAATCTTGTTGCGCCTGCCCAACGGGCATCCGGGAACTCCCTGCTGGAGCCTCCATTTGCTTTGGAAATCAAGGGCGACAAAACCGTGCCTGACCTACCAGGGCTGCTGCCTGGCCTCATGGCACGGGTCGCGGCTCGCCCTTGATGCAACCACAGCTTTGCCTGTGACGCGGTCAGGCAAGCCGCACCCCCGAGCTGACGGCTGCTTGTGCCCAGGGCTCACCCCTACCTCCGTCCGGACTCCCAAAATGCAATCGCACAAAAGGCGTCACAAAAAATCAGCCAAAACCATGGAAAGGAATAACAATTTGACCATGTCAGAATCATTACATGCGCTGAGGCTATTGGGACAGCTGGTCACACGCATTGTTGCAATGCAAACACATGATGCCGCGCTAAGAAACTTTTGGAATCTTTTGGATTGTTGACACCATTCACGTGCTTGGACCTCCGTCTGCGTGGATATGGCCCTTGCATGCCAAAATGTCCTGGGCACGGCCCGTGTGCGTTTTATGGTTGGAGAGTTACTGGGGTCGGAGGTTGTATAGGATTTCCCAAGCCGCCGAAATTTGAAAGGATCGCCACATGCAGGCAAGCTTTTGAATTTTTTCGGCAAGAACATCCCATCACAACCCACAGTTTTGTGACCGCCGGTGACGCAAACGGAACGCCGACCGCCACTACGAGCCACCGCGATGCCGCCAACGAGGTTGGCCAAAATTCCATTCAACAAAGGCAACAACAGCCTAGGACTTGGTGGCGGCACTGTTGGTCATAGCAAAGAACGTAACGAAGATATTCCATGTCAATCATCATCATAATGGGATGGTTTGAGTATTCACACGTTCCATTGCATGTGCTCGTGCTGAGTTCGCTGACTTTCATCAAGTTTCTCACACCATGCCATGGACAATCACCAGCAACACATTTAAACTTGCAGCCGCACTTTGCCCACAATTGCTCGTATGGCCTTATGTGCATGTCAGCAGTGGTACGCTTTGCATGGCTTGGGAACACCGAAGAGCCACAGGCCTCATCACCGCACTTCATGCAGGTGTAATGAGCTCTTTGGTTAACACCTGGACAGGGGTTGTTGCTCCAGATCTTCAGTGCCCAAATTTTGGTGGGCTGTCCAGCTGCGACAGGCCAGTCGTGACTTTATACGTCATGTAAGAGTCATGTAACACATCAAATGAACACGAGCCGTTGACGCCAAGTTTCCCTTTTGGATCAACTCGGTATTGAACAGCCACTCGATGCTGTGCTGGCGACATCAGGCAGGATTTCAAGTACTGTGCCTGCCGTCATGTTAGTTCAATTGTTCCTTAGGCGGATCTTTGGCTGGCTGGCTGAACCTGCGGAGGCTGCATTGCAACGCCAGCCTAATAAGATTCATCCATATCATTGCGTTGCAAGCCATTTTCACACAAATGTTGTTGATGTACGCTGTGAGGTTCAAAATAAGTGAGCAAGTGATCCCAGTCTGTTCGGAATCTTTTTCGGATTCAATATCGTTCGCGCATGTTCGCGTAGAATGGTAAGGGTCTCATGGTTGCAGGCCAAAATTGTACGTACAATCTTTCAAAACATACAGCACGTCCGAATATGCACGATCAACAATTGCATAGTTTTGAACAGAAAACAATACTCTCAGGAAGGGGGGGTTCGCAGCCACACTTGCAGCGCGCCATGGAGGCAGGAAGTAGCAAGGATGAACCACGAAGTTGCTTCGGGCGATTGCGGCGAAAACTGACGGAACCGCACGGCCATTCGGGCCATTCTCTATTCAGAGACTTGGCTTGAGTAAGCCCCGCCCAAAACATTCCCCCCACCGCCAAATTCTACACTGTACCCAGAAGGAGGATAGGTTGTTAATAAGGGGTTGGTGTTTTTGTCGTTTTGTCAGCATGCGGGGACGTTCATGCAGCTTCCTGTCACCGCGCATGTCTTGCAGGGAAATTCCGCTTCGCGCTGTCCTTGTTTAGCCTTTTGGATGCAGTTCCTGAAGCAGCCCAGCGCCTATGGTTGACATTGCCTGCAACTTTAAGGTTTGTTCCATATCTTGGCAATCATCGGATCAGCTAAAGATGTTCTTGGCTGCAATGGTCGTGCATTCACATGTTGTTGTGATTCAACGCCAAGGCTTGCAGACCGCATGTATAACGCCTGTTTACCATTCAGGTGTACCTGGAAAAATTTGGAGCAGTCGCTCGGCTTGTTTGTGGCGGCAGGAGAACTCGCTCACGGTCAGATACGGTCAGTGAACGCGCATCGCAAGCCAATTTGCAGGGGCAGAATCAAATCATGGTGAACTTGCATGTCTTGGTGGAGTTTCTGGCTGCATTTGAGGATGCGACAATCATGGGTTTATTGTTCTCTGTTATCTCATTTTGGAGCCCGCTGACGGAATGCTTGGTCGGCCATCTGCAGGACATGTAATTCAAGCAGCATGGTGCAACTGCCCTTTTGCTGTTTCACACAGCCAGTGACCGGAGACTGCTGCTGTTTGTAGATGTTTGTTTTTCGTCAGGACCGCGAAGTGTTGCGGCGCTGTTTTCCAGTCGAAAGCTGGGGTCGCAGGGCCCCCTTCTTGGCAACCCACTGTATCATAGCCGCAATGGCCGCCAGTGTTGCTCCTCGTCTGCTTTCTGTCAATTCGTGCTGCCGCTGTGGAACGATGAAGTGATGGCTTTTGCAAGCATGAAGTCGTGAAGACGAGGTGTACATGCCGCCAAGTCGTGCCCTAAGCTAGATTTCTTGTGGGCCAATGCATGTGCCGCAGTAGTTTGTCGTTTTGTTGGTTTCTGGATACAGAAACAACTCGCACACTTGCCGCATTCCTATCGCCTATCGCCTTCTGTCTTTGCCCAGGCAATGCCACAGGACCTTTAGAGGTGTGGTTTGTGCCTTGACCACAAGACGATTTGGATAGCTGCTGGTTGCCATCTTTAGATGTTCGCAGCTTCACCTGGGGACCGTGTGCCAGATGAGTAACAATTCTTGCAACAAGCTAAGTCACGAGGTGCTTGTGCTGATGTTGTCCTATTGGGGTGCCTCTTCCTGTGTGATCGCTTTCGAAGCCGCGCGGCAGGCCATGTCCCCAGGGCCATTGCATTTTTCAGCAAGACTTGCTGATTTGTCCCGGAATCCATGCATCGCAAGTGTCAGAAGTCTGCATAACGTTTGGCCTTGCCAGTTGCAAGGAGATTTACCCTTTCAAGGAGGAGCGCATTGTGGTCGAAGGTGGTCTGCCTATCAAATTCTTGGGATGGTCGCAGTTGGTGATTTGATGCATCCTTGACAACCACAGCTGCGCTTCTGAGTGTGCTGCATTTTTAGATATGTTTTCACATGTTCAGGCCTGTGCAAGTATACGATGATGATGGGTGGGGGATGTGGAGCAATACCAGTTCTCGTGCTGATGGCCGTGGCTTAGCAGCTTCTAGATGCTGTCCAAAGACACATGCACCAACCCGTCCCTGCCCGTGTGGAAGGATGCTTCAATGCTGCACCGTTTGCTCTTCGTGTTCTACATTCTCCTGTTTGGCTTGGTTAGCTTGGAGGCTCCTGCCCTCTCACGGTGGCTGATGAAAGCCCGAATCTTCTAGAGAGTTGGGCCCGGTGATTCGACACAAACTGCAGGTCATGTTTTGTTGTCAATGCGTGGGTTTTCCCTCTTACGGTTGCAAGTCTTGAGATGACTGCATAGCTACGGGTGTTTGCTGGGGGCATGTCAAATGCATTGTGCTTGCATCCCATGCGTGCAGTCCAATGCCCGACGCCTGTTCTTCAAAGATTTGGCATGGGTAGCGGATGAACGAAGATGGATTCCACACGTCCTTCCCTTTCCAGACTGAACTCTCCACAATGGACATGCGTTTATCTTCAGGCGGTTCCAATCTTCCGTGATGCTGTGGCGGCTCCTCTACCCGAAGTTCCATCAGAGGCTTCGCTTTCCTTTCCACTGGAAGACCTGTAGAGATCTGCTAAGTGCTGCACCAGTTGAATAGATGTGACTGCAGCAAAGTATTAGGCGCACGAAGTCCAAAGTGCCGCTGGCGAAGTTGGGGGCGTCCTACAGATCTTGTGCGAGGTGTCCAGCTGCATGCAATGGATTGCAATGGTATAGAATCATGCTGGAATTGATCCCGCAGGTAATGCCGCGGATCGGATGTTGCAGACGTAAGGCCTTCTTGCTTGGTACGGGTTGTCTTTGCCATGCACGAACCAGATGCAACTGCTGTTTGCATGCCCGAAGGACCAACGACCACCAAATATGGCCTTTCGCCATTTGATGGCGGTCAAGCTACTTCGCATCAAGACTCATACAATGTTGGCCGGTATGCGTTGCATTCATTCTGTCGGACAAGCCGTTTGGCTTGCCAAACTTGAATGGCCGAAAGACTGGTAGTTCCATTGAGTAGCCTGCTACCGCAAGGTTCTGGAATGGAGCTTATGGAGCATCCATTGGATCCACGCTCTTTTACTATGCCGCTCACAATGCAAAGCTTGAAGAAGATCCATTCTTGTGTTGTTACCTCTTCCCTCTTCATACAGCGGCGAAGGTCACGTACGTCCTGCGCCTGGGTGGTTGGGAGCGTATGCAGGTCTCTCTCTCATCTTGTTATCCTTGCATCTGCTGGCCTATCTTCATGTTGCAAGAGAGATGTTACACGGACATCACGTTGCTGCGCATTTGGCAAAGTGGCCAGGTCATTGTAGGTGGTGGTCTTCTGGCCGGGCTGACGGAGGACAGCCGCCCATCAGTTTTGGGGTTATGCTATCGTCACAACCTTGTACCCCCACTTGCAAATCCTCCGACTGGAGGTGTCATTCACCCGAACAGCCCAAGCCCATATTGAGATAATTCTTTTGGTCTTATTTGTATGAGTTTGTGTCTTGCGTGGAAGAGGGTGAATGTGAGGAGCATACAGCCAGTTGCCACACCAGAAAAAAGACCAATTACGAACAATGTTTCAAATCAGTACAGGAATTCTCAAATCCTTCGTCTTGATTTCATGTATACAAATAAGATACGCAATGTGCTTGAACCCCAAGGTGGTTCTCAGATCAGAGTTCCTGACATTGACGACGACGCAAATCCCTTGCCAACGGGGGGCAAATTCAAAGGGTTGTGGCTTCGTGATTATTTCAAAGTAGTTTCGCTACCAAACAAAATTCGAATTTGAACGCGGATTTGAAGATTCCTCTGCCATTCTCCTTTTCCCGTACGTTGTTTTTATCAAAATAAACTGCTTACCAACAGTGTTTTGAATCTGTCGAGGAATACTCAGGCAAGTGTTCCTGAATTTCTGTATTTCAAGTCTTTCTTTCCTGTGCTTTAAATGTAGAAGAAGGTCCCTCTGGATTTTTCAGACGAGGCAGTTCAAATTTCAAGGATTATTCTCAGATCCTGGATTTCAAAAAAAATGTACATAGATGGGTTACTAAATGTGTTTCAAATTTGGAAGGATTTCCCTCTTCCTGGGTGTGGTTTGATTTACGAGATGTGCTCCAACTGTAGCTAGGAATTTTCAGACACCTTACACCCTAAACCTGTGTTCCAGGGTTTCTCTAATCTGGTTGTGAAGTCTAAAATCCCAGCCTCCGATTCTCCTTTCGAGGGCTATCTGCTTCAAAATCTATCCGGAAGGGCCGGAAGGTTCATTTTATGGGTTACTGATGCTCTTTCCTTAAGATGCTGCATAAGATGTGTTCAAATACAAGTTGTATTCTTTCCTGGGCCTTCATCTTTCGTATAAGGAATTCTTCTCAGACCTACTCCTGCAGAAGTTTCCTCGGATAATTCTCGGGTCATGGGTTTCTGGTTTTCTGCACGAATCCTTCACTACATGTGATTCAAACTCAAACGCAAGTTCAAAGTCAGCTCTTCCTGGGCATGGCTGTCAATCTAAATCCTTAACTAAGCCGCGCTACATCCCCTAGCAGAGCTGGTTCTAGTCCATGGAAATCTCTTATTAAGTTTGATCAAGATTAAAACGGAAATCCTCACAGCTGGTTCCGTCCAAATTACATCTCTTATCAAATGTAATGAAACCTTATACGGAAATCTTGGAATCCTGGATTCCTGGTTGTTAAATGGGCAAACATTGCCAAGACTTAAACAGGCACTAAAAACCAAAGTTTGCCACGCAAAAGCGTTAAAGTTTTGGAGCAATCTTTGTGGTTGGTGTACCTCCTCAGGTTTTTGCAAGGTCTTCAAGGAAAAAATGTTGCCAACACTTGAGGGTGAAACAACGTTTGGAGGTGAACAGCTTGCCAAAACCTGTGGAGGTACCCAAAATACCAAAGCTTTGGAGGTCTTGGGTTTGGGGGTCTCAGGAATTTGCCCGTGTTTTTTTCTCCTGAGAAGATACTGGCGGGTAGTTTCCTCCTCAGGTTTTGGCAAGATTTTCGCACCTTGCCTTCAAACCTTGCATAAAGCCCGCAGAGGTACACAAAGCGGCAAGATTCCCGAGACACCCAATCCCAAGACCGCCGAAACTATTTTTCTGGTACGTCAGCTTTTGATAGGTTCTTTTTTGGCACCGATTCAGGTTTTGTCAGAGGTTTTGATATCTAAACCTTTGATTTTTGTATTTTCTTTTTTGTCTCAAGTTTTAGTTGAAATCTTGCCGAAACCGTGGGATATGTTGCAAAGGACTGCCAAATGGCCATGACTGAGTGCTGTCCTTGAAGGCTTCTAGATGCAATTGCATTGCTTGGTTTTGTAACAAGTTGACATCGAGAGCTATGTGTTGTGGATTTACTCAACATGGATGTGTAGTCCGGTTCCCAGTAAACAAAACTGGGCCCCATGCGTTGCCTCTGGATAAATTTCAACGATTTCCCATCTCCTCGCCTCCTGTCCCTCCCTTGCCGCTTCTCTTTCCAGCTCGTCCTTCTGCCCATTCTATGTTTTGCTTTCTTTGCCCTTTGAGCCCCTACATAAGCCCTAAAGGGATATCCATGAACCCTGAAGATTTGAACCCCTAAGTCATAAGCCTGTAAACCCTTAACTTTAGTTCCCAAACTCAAGCTTCTCAGACCAAAGACCACTGAAGGACTCCCTGACCTTGGAACCCCAAAACCCCAAGTCACCTAACCCTTATGTAATCTCCAGGGTACCCGAAAGTATGGGAGACTTCCCCCTTGAAGGTCAGCCTCAACTGGATCTACATGCGAATCTTTAGTGCTGGAGATGTGAGGCTCTCAAGTGGTTACAAGATTTTAAGAGATATTTTCTGTAGAGGGCCCGTGCCTGCGTAGGGCTCATGCTGTGGATTCTGTGGTGGCTTTGTGGAAGGCTGGACATGACTGGAAAGACAGACCGTCGGTTATTGCGATACGTGGTGTTTTCTCGACCCTTGGCGTTGCAGGTAGCTTCGCACAGACTGTATCGGTGCTAGTGCAACATCTGAGGATTCTGCAACGCCGTGGCGACATTTGGGATTATTGGATGGGCTGAGCCCTCCATCTTTATGGTCGCTCAGCGTTTGAAGTAGAGATGCCTCCGTGGGTCGCTGGCAACATGATTGTTGAACTCAGTGCCATGAGTATGTTTCCTACGTCCAGGTGTTCCTGTGGGCCGTTACGACGCGATTTGGCTTGGCCAGCTTTTCTTTCTGGCGCCTTGCTAGAAGTGAGGGTTGCTGGATGGTGGGTCTTGCATATCAGGGATTAGTGGTGTAGCATTTTTGTTTGTGAGGAGGAAATATTGCAGGTGAGGAGTCGTTGTGGTAGATGCAGTAAGTAGGCCGATGCTACGCTTGGCCTGTCTTTGTTTCGCGGCTGCTAGGCGCGTCTCTGCGCAGTGCTGGCTGGTGGATGAGGAGCCGACTTGGCAAAGTCCACATAATGCAGAAACCCGAACATTCTGGACCCTTATTCACCCCACAACCCTCGTGTGTCTGATGCGGCGTTTTTCTGCGTATTAGTTGGTAGTAGTTCTTTGTTGCGGTATGCGCTGAAGACTCTTGTTGAATGAGCCACTTCATAGCAACAGGGCAGGATAGCAAGTTTTCTACCAAACAGGTGAGGTGCAAAGCCAATCCATTAGTGGAAATAACTTGCTAGAGCATCGTGGCACATTGTAGCACTTGCAACCAGGCACGGAATTCCGAGTATTCAGAGTTTTGACTGAATGTCAGGGCATGCTGTTGAGCCTCCTCAGGCCAAGCGGAAATGCGTTTGGCGTTTAGCTGCCTATTCATTCCTGTGATCCAGGACTGCATCTTTGGCGACGTGCCGGGCCGGCGTCGCCAAGGCTTGACGTGTGAGGATCTTGCCGTGGTGTTGTGGATGAAAGAAAAATGCAAGAAGCACGAAGACCAAGAATCACCTCTCACTATGTGTAATGCATTGCGTCGGAGTCGGAAGTTATCTTGGGGAAAGAGCAATACTTTCAGAAAGCTTTCATCAACTTGCGCAGGTGTGATCTTCGGGGCGCTGGCCATGACTCAGAACTTTGCAGGCCAGGAGCGGACGTGGGGATGGACCCGCATCCTCTGCTTTTCGTGATGCCGCTTGGTTTCTGTGCTCTTCCCTACCCCGCTGCAAGGCGCCCAAGCGGCCAAGGGCTGCAAAGGAGTAGCCACCTTGCTGACTTGTGCAGGCGCCATTTTCTCCTCGCTGACTTTCCTTGGCCTGGGGTTGGCAGGCCTGGAGACTGTGAACTGCGAGGCCCCGCGGCTACTTTCAGGAAAGAGGGAAGCATTGGATCAACCGAGCCAAAGTACTTGGGCAGATTGTGTTGGAGTCTTTCTTTCGTGAAATGTGAGGCTGAATGCAAGCACCTCTCCACCAAACAAATTGTTGACTCAACTGGGGCCGTGGGTGTTGCTCTGGCTGCAAGCTGGACATGCTCGTCCATGCGTGCAACTCGCTTTACAGTACGAGTAGGTGGACTCAGGAATGCATCGACACATGCTTCCTTGGAGTAATTGCCATGCAGCCTGACAGCTTGCGCTACGCAGCCGCACAATCGAATTCTTTACCAGCTTTGTCTTGTGTGCGCAGCGCTGCATCATGTGTGCTGCAAGGCTGGTATGTTCGAGCCGTGTGCCTTGGAATGAGCATGCATAGAAATTCTGGACACCTGCAAAGCGGCCATACTTCTTGTTTGCAAGTTTGCCTTGTCTTCTTACGAGAGCTTGTTTTTTGGCATCTGCTAAAGGATCGGCTTTTGGGCGCCTCTTTGCGAGCTCATGGTGGCGTTCCATGCGTGGAAGTTTCCGATCAAGGGCGCCAGGCAGAGCTCTGACTACGCGTGAACTGATGGCAAGTTAACAAGGTTTCCATTCAAAGTCTCCAGGCTCCGTCGACTTTACGCAGGAATCAGCCAGAGCCGGGGTGAGGAGCCGACAATGGTGTTAAATGCGCTGGCTTGGTGTATAGCTCGAGAGCGCAGAGAGAGAGAGAGAGAGAGAGAGAGGTGCCCCATAGCAAACCCCCAATAAGAGTCCATTCTGGAGCTATGAGGGGAAATGTAGCTTAGTATGCCCAACACGGGCTGGGCGGCGAAGCCCGGGGGGGGGGGGGAACCCTCCCTCCATAGCCTGAACGAAAGAAAGAAAGAAAGAAAGAAAGAGAGGTGTATAGCATTATTGGCCCGGGAAGTCCATTGGGTTATTGGCTGTGTACGCTGTTGATTTAGTTGGGGCTGCTGGGGCCGGATCACAGCATGTTGTTCCCTCCTGGGTGGGACCGGACTGGGACAAGCGCTCGCCTGCGAGGGCTGCAGGCTCTGCCTGCGAGGGGTCGTAGGACCCCTTAGAGCCCGAAGAAGAAGAAGAAGGTGTATAGCATTACAGCATTGCGCTGACCTCAATCCAATCTTGAGTCCAACTACTTGGGCCCATCAGTCTGCAACAGGGCTTACTCTGCAATAAGGCTTCAGGGCAAGCCAACCAAACCTCAAGCAGAACTGGTCCAACTGCGCTTGCCACAATCTGCAAAACGGGATCTTCTGTTGCAGTTGTACAGATGTTCCTGCGAAGGAGATCAATTTGACATTGGAGGATACAGGAACGCCCCACACCGGTAAGTCCAAGATTGTCCTCAGCGTGGAGGTGCCGTGTAACTTCTCAAAATGCTGCGTCCCTGAGTGTCAGTGCTGCAAGACTGCCCTGCCAGTGCAGACTGCATCAAAACCTGGCTGCAGGTAGACTCCGGTTGAATCAATGTGGTTTGCGCGGAAAGAGCCCCCAAGATGGCAATAGCAGCCACCCTTGCATGCCAGCGTCCCCGAGAGGCCACCAAGAGCAACAACTCCAACAAGATGCGCCGCCAGAACACTGATTCAGACGGTCTGCTATGGAGGCCCTGCTGAGCCTGCTGCGCATTTCATTGTCCTGCCTTTTCTCACCACAGCTGAGACCTTCACCAGGTTGGCACATACCACTGCGCTCGTAGATTCGTGGCCGGGAGCGAAATCCTTGTCAGTCCTGTTCGACATCAACGAGGTTCTGAGGATATCCTGTAGTGGGCCGAGCGGCCAGGTTGAAAGCCTTGTTTGAGTAGCCTAACGCCCCCTGATTCTGCCATTTCTTGGTGCAGGCAGCCCCATTGGATACTCGGCGGAGCTCCTGGGCTTGTAGACAAGAACACACCTTTGGCATAGCAGTGGGGCTTAGAAAAACAAAGCCAGACCACAAAACCGGCAGGTTGCAAAATGCAACAGTTGAAGCTTCATGATTCCCCTGTCCATGCCCTTTTGGAGTTTCTTTTCCATTTCGTTTCCATTATTGGGATACGTTGTGGGGCTGTACAGCGGCTAAGCACGTGTAGGTCATCGCTCCACCACGCGTTCCACATCTGGGGAGGCCTCGGGTTCAGGGTTCATTTTTCTGATTGCTCGTTGGCATCATGAGGCGGCTTGCCCTAGAAGTCAGTTTTTCTTAGGTTATGTGAAAGGCGTTTTTGGCTGTGCCTAGTCACTACTGTTGCTGATCAAGAGTAGTGTTGTTTTCATCATCTTCTGCTCGTTGCAATTTTCATGCTGCTTATTGTCCTTCAGAAGTGGCCTTGCGCTTGCAGGGCGAAGGCTCGAGGGACCTCGCGAAGCAGGTGCAGCAGTTTGGGTTTCCTTGCTCGTAGCACAGAGAAATTGAGTGCATTCTATAGTTGATGTCCGTGTGTGTATAGCGAGCCTGAAGCCAGCATGGATGGATTTCACATATGCTGAGACCCATTGACGACAGTAGCTTCTGTCAGCAGAACGCAGTCAGGCATCCGATTGGGCTGGCATCGTGCCGTCGACCCGAGTTAGCCTTTAGCAAGCTGTGAGATGAGAAAGCTATAGCGGACATACGGATATGCATTAACCGTTTGAAGGTTCGGACGTTGCATACAATAAATGTGGAGTGCTCCACTTCAAGGCCACCCCAAATGGGGTCCAGGCCCCGGCTGCTTTGCAGAAACAGCAGGTCAGGGTGGTGTGCCCTGCAGTGCTTTGGTGTAGCTCGCAGGAAGCCATTTAAAGTCACCTGTGCTCTTGGTTTTGGCTTTGTTTGCGGGGGACATCAAGCGGATTTCTTCGGTGAAGCCGAACACGCCCAGAACGCACCAGCCGTTCAGCGAGAACTCCCTCGATATGCGCTTGTTACGGTTTGTTGTTCCAAACATCGCTGGATGGTGGTGTAGCTCTCAGACGCCTTCCTTCAGTCTAAGGGTATGCAGGTTGTGATGGAGAGGTTTGTGGCGCCTCGGTGGCCATAGAGTAGATGGACAAGGATTTGCCTTCAGCAGGGTACTGCGTTTGGAGCTGTCCCACCAACCTTCGACTTAGCTTCGTTTTGCATTAGAGAAGCAACAAACCTGGCAGAGTAGTTACAGAGTCGACTGCTGTTTCCGTGTTGTTTCTTGCAGGTTGGAACCTGGGTCCCGGGTGAGTTTCCTGGAAGTTCTGAAGATTCATGTCATGGGGTGTTGCTCTTACATCATTGGCTGCCCCTCCTTGGGATTGGAGGCTGTAGATCTCAACCATAGATGCGATAGAGTTTGTTGCTACTGTGCCGTCGAAGCTCACTATGAGCCTGGCTTACTCCTTGCCGTTAGAGGCAGTATCTCACGGAGAGAAGGCAAAGAAGGACCATCCTTGTCTTCAGCTCCGTGAGCACTTAGTCGACAGGGACGCATCGGAAGTCCATGGAGAGGTTGCAACAACCTTTTGAGCTCAGATTCGGCTTAGAGTCCAAGGACTTGCACCCAATGGATCGTGAAGTTCAGTTCTGATAGGGTGGTTGCTTTGTACAAGAAGGGCATGGGCTGGCATCTAGAATCTATTCATCTGCCTTGGACAAAGAGTGCAGAAACGGCGTTTTAGCACAGGAAAGCTGGAAAACCTCGCCCTAGACTTTTCCAGACTCTGAACATGCAGTAGATACTGCTGGCTCTCTACTGTACATGAGATTGGGGACAGAAGGCCATGCCACTGGCACGTGACATCGTTCGTGCAGCTCGCACCAAGAGTTAGAGCCAGAAGAGAGCCAGCAGACTGCAGACTCGCACCACGGGCGATATGCCTGTTGGGTCTGCAGCGGGAAAGCTGATGGCAAAGTCACTGCACCAGGAGAGCTGTTGGAGGTTAAAGTCTGTCGGTCATACTGCAAACCGATTTATCAAAATGAATGTGGAACGGCCTCCGCTGTGTGCTAGAATTCACAACATCATGCGAGTCTGACCGAAGCCACAACAAACAGCCAGAAATGCAGAGCGCGGGTGTTTGTTCGCAAGGGCAGGAGTTGGTCAAAAGGGTTCTTGTGGTGTCCGGAGCAGTTGCCTCCAGAGGTGGGCCTCTGAGGAGCCACCAAGGCTTCTGGGAACCGCACCGGTGCTGCAGGCAGATGCAATGCTGGGTGACACTTGAGGTGTATCAAGATTGCGGATGCATGTCTACAGGCTGTGGAGGGCTCGAACTCAGCACTACCTGAGGGACCCCTCCATGCATGGTGAGCTCGAAGGAAGTCTAGAAGGTTTTAAGCATGCAGCCAAGAAATCACCTGGGGTAGGCCCGATGGGCTTGCGAGTGGATGGTCAGATGGTGTGGCATACCTGGCGCACTGGTGTCGCTGGGTACGGTGCTGGCCGTAGGCTCCAACGACGACGCAATCTTACTTGAGGCCGTTGCCCGCGGAGATGCAGTGTTTTGGATCTGAAGAAATCTCTGAGGGGGAATTCGTCCGTAAGTAACAGATGTGGTTTCAGGTTTGCTACTTCAACCTTGCCAGTTTTTCCTGCAGCAATCTGAGCATGGCAGCAGCGGTGGCTTCGAAGCCCAGGTGGCGCTGCTGCGATATGTGAGCATCGCCTACCCACAGCTGCAAGACTCCTTTCATTGGCAGGGAAGTGCAGAGGCGCAGTCTTTGCAGAGGGTCGCTATAGTCCATGCAATCTTATCCAGATGGTTCTCTGTTATTGGGGAAATACCCCTGAATTGCAGCAACCCTAGACCAGATATTCTTCTGTATCCCTATAGGACTGTACAGAAGCCAAATGCATCGCTGCATAACCCTGCCGCCTAGCCTCCATGGAGTTCGAAAGTTTCCCTGTACCCCAAACCACTTAAACCCTAAGCCACTAAGGGTTGCTCTAAGTCACGGTCGGACTCCACTGGATTCGAACCTTGCTATGCCGTCAGTTCCATGCAAGGGGCAAACCCTTAGTGGCAAGAGGCCCTACATCCTAAACCCCACTGGAGCCATAATCTAAACTCCTTAACACGGGGTTATACAGGGCACTATTTAGGGGATTGTTACAGGGGTTATTAAGGGGGATGCTAGGAATATAGACTATGGCTCATATGTTGAGTCCCAAAGTTTTGCGCAGCTCCGTGAGCTTGCCTTCGCGCTGCGCCGCGCTGCTGGGAATCTGGCGCCTGAGCTGACGGCGTCCCAGCTTAGTTCAGGAGAATAGAGGTTTGGGATGCAAACGTTGACGAGCTTCAAAACACAAAGATTCTTGACTGGATTGGGGGGATTACTTGCGGGTATTTCAGTGGACTGGGTGGCTGGATCCCTTCAAAAGTATACCGAGAACAGTTCTCAAATTTACTCCTATCATAATAGTGCCAATATTGATTCCCCCACTTCTCCTCCAGCAGTAAAATCAGGGATTCGTGGAGACAAAACGGGCAAGTCTCAGGTGAAGGCTTGAACTAACTACAGGGTTAGTTTGCGTTGGCCATGACTTTTTCCACAAAGCTTGTATTGGGCCGTTGGGGCTTGGTTGATTTCCCGTGTTAGTAATCTCCCTGCTTGGTTCGTGCTGCTTTTGCACGTGCGTTGAGTGCAGCCAGAGGGACTCGTAAGAGGGCCTTGGGGATTGTTCGTGGCGATATTGTTCCGTTTTTGGCTGCTCTCCCCTTTCTTGGAAGTTGCCATATGGATACTACTTTGCTCTTGTCTGACATTCCATAACCTAAACGATAGCATTTGTAGAGCTGCTAGAACGGCTTACGCTTGGCAGGCTACTTGCATGGGTCCACGTCTGCATAGCCCAGCAGGTCGCTTGACAGGCTGGGCTTCTTAGGTTTCCAAGAATGGGAGGTTCCATTTTGATGCGGTTTGGGAGGCAATGCGTGGAGACAAGACTTTCAATGCAGTGCGCTTGCTTCTTATAGTGGCAGGCCTGGCCGAGGCTTTGCAACAAGGACGGTGGACGGGATATGGGGCATCATGTTCTTGCGGTCTCTGCGTGCTCAGGGCAAGTGGTGAAGCAAGACGGGTGTCAGGAGATATGGAGCTGCTCCGGGAAGCACGAAGACTGCAAGCCATTCTGAAAGCGCCTGCGCCGGTGACTTTGCATTAAGCATACTTGAGCTGTGAACTCATTGGATGCAGTGACCCATGGTGGACGAGGAGCAGTTGTACAGTATGTTTTAAAGGTCCTCGTCTTCTGCTTAAATTAAAAGCCCATCCGAAGTGATTTGAGAAGGTTCGCGAAAGATGCGCGAAAGAAGACACTAAAGAAAAACAACTTTGCCGCGAAAGTTCCACGACAAGCATCAAGCTCGGGTTGTATGTTGTCGACTAGATTGTTGCCATTCTCAGTACTAGGTCCTATCCATCCCATACCCAAGCCCGTCCGTTCTGATTTAGCAGGTGTGGCCCTTTAAGGACTCCCCGCTTCAACCAGGTGGTCATTTTTTGATAAGGACGCATCGACCCACATTGTAGTGTACTTCATGACCTAGGTAGAGCCCTTTTCGCGTCCACAGCTGGGATATTCAGATTGAGACCGTTTCGCGTGACAATGGCCTGAAAAACTCGCCAAAGAATTGCGACTGCCGTCACGAAAGCTCAGTGGTTGGAGGCCATGAGCCCATGCAAGCTTTGAGACCTTCACGCATGGAGACAGGTACAGGTTGGAAGCAGGAGGCTGCTGGTCAAGCCCAGGCGAGGGCGAGGGAAACCCCCTGCACAAATCAGTCCATACTCTGATACATTTCACGTTGCAGATCCCAAGCTTGGAAGTCTTCCCATGGCGTTCTTGAAGTTGCCGTCAGTTCAAGAAACCACCGGTTCCGCGAAAGCTTTGCAACAAGACGTGAAATGAAAACACTTCTCCGTGAAAGGTGGCATTCTTCCGTGAACGGATATTCTAACGACCACCAATCCAAGGTGCAGAAGCTCGTGGCTTCCGTTGCTCAGCGGACGGAGCCGCTGCAGCTATTGTTGCTCGCTCTGTGCTTCACAGGATTGCACGCCTGAATGCGCAAGTTAGAGGAGCTGGAAGGGAGCATGTCTCCTGATTGCCGTATGCTGCGTGCGGCCTTCGAACGAGGCGCAGTCATGTCCTTTGACTCGTTCAGTCATTGTCAGCGCCGGAAGGTCAGTGTACTGAGATCGCGAATGTCGGCCTGGCATGCATTGGAAGCCTTGCCGAGGCGGTACAGCTGGATTGCAATACAAACAGGTTGAGACCGGTAGCCGTGAAGTTGATTGTGCTGTCCAGGCTGCCCAGCGGCTGGAGACAGTGGGCACCTGGGCTATTGCAGGCGGGACGTATGCTCTCAGGACCATCGCCTTCATATGTAACCACTTTCTGCAGAGTTGCTTCAGCTGCGCGGGAGGGAAAAAAAGCCGCTTTCTGCTGGGTCTCTGCAGAGGTCCTTCCAATATCCAGCGCAAACTTCAGTGGCAGTGGAGGTCCGAGTTCGGAGTGACCCGTGAGGAGGGCTTAAAGGCCCTCCTATGGCAACAGCAAGACTTCGTGGGAGACGACCAGGAGCTGAACATGGCAGAGATTGGGGTCTGGTATGGTGACGTGTCAGCCTACCTTCTGTCCGAATTTCCAAACCTCCGCATGCTACTTGTCGACCCTTACCACTTGCGCGTGGAAGGCCAGGTTGAGATATCAAAGCCACGGGAATGTGTTGAGAATCGTTCCAGGGTAAGAGAGGGCAGCTGCAGTACCCCTTGTGCTATGGATGTTGAGTCCTGCGATTGCAGGTGCTGCGGAAGATCAGCCGCAAGGCCTGCCTGTGGAGGCACAGTTCCAAACCTGAAACGATCAAAAAAAGCCTGAACCAGGTTTGAGTGTGACACCTCTACGGATCCACCGGCGTGGTGTGCATGGTAGATTCATGAATTGAAGTTAAGTTGTGACAAGGGGATATGTGTTGAGGCACTGGACATCGGCACGCAGCGCACGCAGCCATTCCGGAACCGAGCAACCCATCTCTTGCAGCACTCGGTCGAGGCCGCAAGCTGGGTGTCCAGGAGAGGTCACCAAAAAAGCGGCTTCCCCAGATTAGGGATACCTTTTTGCGGGTTCCCAGACTGAGGAGGATAGTCTTTGGGGTCTATATTGGGGCCTATTCTCACGATGCGCTTTCTTGCTCAGTTTTGGAGCAAATCTGGCCAATTTGGATGCTTTGGTTTGCTTTAGTGCAGAAGAATGGGTAAGAACAGTGCGGATGAGAAAGTCATGCGATCCAGAAGGCTCATGGTGCTGCGCACTGCTGGCTGCTTGTTGGCCTTCTGGAGTTAGATCCTGCCTCACAAGCTTTTTGTCCTGTTCCGTGATTAAAGCCTGTGCTTTGCTATTGCCACCATTTCCCACTGTCTTTGCTTTCTTGTTTGGTTTCCATTCCACTTTGTCTAGGGAGCTTCTTGTCCTTGTGAGCCCTCTAAACCCCCCAGGCCGCCAGCTCCCCGAACCGTGATGAACCTTTGTAGGAGCTCCATGGACCTTGTTTATGTGGATGGCGACCATAGCTATGAAGGCGCGGCCTCGGACCTGGCTGCCTGGTGGCCCATCCTGCGAGTTGGTGGGGCCATGGTGGGCCATGACCCGTCGGGCTAAAGGTGTGGAGTTTCAGGCCTTGTCAGAATTTCCGCGTCTCCGGATTTGGAGTCTATCAGGGCTTGCCGGAAATTTAGGGCAGCATTTGCCCGTCCGGTTTTCGAAGCACTAATCCTGACTTGACTCATGCCAGGACTACACTATCACCTGGCCCGGGGTCGTGCGAGCGGTCAATGAATTTGCAGATGCACATGGCTTGGACGTGAATTTCTCGACAGAGCTCTGGTGGTTCCTGAAGCCGCACTGATGGGCTTGCTTGGGCGTATTTCTTGAACACCTTCGCTGGCGTGGAAGAGACTTCGAAGAGATGGTGATCAACTATGTTCGTGGCCCCATGGGCGGCCGAAGCTCGCGGGCTTCTGCAGACATCCTGTCCGCTTCAACGCTGACAGCTGTACCGGTTAAAACAATTTTGCCATTGAGTGGTGTGTGGCCTCAGCTCGGACACTCTTCCCTGCAACTTTGAACAGGCGGCAAAGATCTCGCTGAGTGCCTCGTGTGGATCCTCTGAAGGCTACGTCAGTTCGGTTCAGAACTGTCAGCGCTGTTGGCAGGTACAGTAGCATGGTGTAGATATGTGTAAATTTGTTTTGCTGGTGTGGTGCCGGGAATGGCAGGATGCGAGTTCAGTGCGGAGGATTTGGATGAAGCCTTTGCAGGCGCAGAGGAGGTTAGCTATGGACAGGAGGGGTCTGGTCCATGCTAAGATGCCAACGTGCGAGCGCAGAAAGTGGAGCGATCCATCTATGTGGATATGTTCCGCAGGAGACCATCGTAGAGGGCGAGCACGGGCCGATCTTCCTCAGTGCTGCTGCATCAGGTCAGATGTGGGATTCCTCTCAGGCTGTAGTTATCTTTCGATAGGGAGAAATGTGGGCCCCGTGCTTCCTGGCCGCCGCAGCTTCCACAACATTGACAGTGTGGATGATGCTCGTTGTGCTTGGAGGTGCCAGCCTGGGTGGTTCATTCTGGTGTCTGGAGGCCATGACAGGAAAAACTTAATGCAACATGTTTCAAGGCAGGGCTGACCATCAGCTTGATTTGGTGTTGGACGTGCTTGGAAGGACCCGTTTAGCGGAGGATGTTCGCAGCAGCATTTCATACGGTGCTTGCGAATTGGCTAACTTTCTTGTGATGATAACAAGTATAAGGCTTCTGCTGAGAACCTTTGGTAGGGCTTCTACGTCAGGCTTTGGGCATCCGGCTCGCAGTGCTTGGTGCGGCTTGCGCAGATGGGTTGCCCGCAGCCCAAGGGCTGGACGTGCAGGCGACCAGTCACAGTGTTTGGAGTTGCATTTAAATGTTCCACCTGCCTGAACCACCGCAGGTCCTTAGCAAAGCTGAAATAGTGGCATGCCTGTGCTACTTGACGGCTTGGGCAGTTGTTCTATGTGCAGGGCATGCAGGGCGGAGGGCCTGCTAACACATGATCCGAGGTTTGGCCAAAGATCAGGAAGCAGAGGTACGAGCCAACCTTCCCTTGATTTCTCAGCAGGCGCTCCGCCATCAGAAACTTCTGCAAGCGCACTTGTTGGCGCGCAGGCAGCGGCTGTGGTGGGCCGGGGAGGCAATGTTCTTGTCCCGATCGGGCCTGACCAGGCGACCCAAAGAACCATTGACACTGAACGGGTTCAGCGGGTTCAGCTTGGACCATGGCGCTGCCAGTTGCCAGTAGACATGCGCAGAATGCGAGGGTTTCTGTGCTTGAAGCAGATCCCCCACAATTTTTTGGCAGCGCCCAGCAGTCCAAAGTGCATCTGCGTGTGCTGCTAGCTGTGCCTGGTAGGGCCGAATCCTGGCAGGCTCTCACTGAAGACTTGGTCATGTCCTTGGCACGGCAGATCGCAGACCTGTCCGACAAGCACAGGCCTTAGCAAGCTTGGCGCTTCTTATCTTCAGCATGTAAAAGTTGCAGATGTTTCTTTGAGGTCTCAGGCGCCAATTTTCGCTTGTGGGGTGCCCGCGCAGCGTTTAAGGCACATCTTTTTTTACAGTATTTGAAACATGGCTTTGCAATTTTAATGAAAGATTGCTTTGCAATTTTCAGCTACGGATGCAGTTTTGGGAGCACTCTACCTACTTACTTCCTTACTTACTTGCTTACCTACTTCCTTACTTACTTACTTGCTTACCTACTTCCTTACTTACTTACTTACTTATTTACTTACTTACTTACTTACTTACTTACTTCTCAGTTGCTTACTTAATGACTTGCTTGCAGGTCACTGCAAACCAGACAACCCATCATATCCTTGACCTATCTAGGTTGATGTTTCTGCTATGAGATCCACCTACCTACCTGCACCAAACCTGAACCCTGAGCCCGACTCTGTGCAGGCGCTCTGGGGTGTTCGCAGAGTTTGCGTCAAAAGCCTGCCTGGCTGCTTGTCTGGACTGGTGGTGTTTCATTTCCAAACACCCAAGGCTGGCACATCCCTCTTTTGACTGGAGGTTAGTATGGAATGAGGCAATATCGTATGTAGAGATTATTTTAGGATCATTGTCCCCCAATCCCTACTAACCACCGGTGACTCTCATGTAAGGAGCGTGCCCACAATGGTGAGCATCCGTTTCTGATTGACGCGCTACGCGAGAGCAGACGGCTTGTTCTGAACTTTGGCATAATGACTGCACCAGTGTTGAGGGAGAGTCCTGTATAGTTTTGCCTGGGGAGTCGAGCTGAGGGCGGACCGTCTAGAAGACATGGCCGAGTTCTACCAGGAGTGAAGGTCTCAGAGCATATGGTCCCCCAAAAGCAGATACATTATGGGGTATGTGGGGATCTTATGAGGGTGGGACGCTGTGGAGCCCCCATTTTTGCAGTGTTTTTGTGTGTTTTCAGTGATTTTACATGAATCTTTGGGCATGGCGATCTGGGGCCATCCTGACCACAAGCCACCGTTCCCTTCAAAAAGCTCTCCTGGACTTGTTTTCTGCACAATGGTGGGG